GCTCTTTTCCCGGGTACACAGGTGGTTGGGTAATAAACTCAGGAATTTCAAGTGGTGAATTCCTAGTTTAAGCACAAATTTGAGAGAACAAAGGAGATGGCTCCAAGATGGAGTCATTTTGGTCCCACACCAGCAGCTCACCAGATACCCACAGGCTCGAGTCTGGGGCCTTTGCCAGCACAGAGGCCATGTGCACCACATGAGGCCCTGGTGCTGTGAGACCAAAGTGACTCCATTTTGCTAAAATCTACCATTCTCCTAGCCTCTCAAATTAATGGTTAAAATGTGTTTGCTCTGGGACAGAAGATACAATCTGTAACAAACCAAAGTTCTTAAGTTAATTGCTCAACCATCTGTTTGCCCAGGAAATAAACGTTCCAGGACCCCTATTTGTAAAACAATCTGTTAATGTACCGACCATCAGTACATAGTGGTTGTGACCATTAGCCATTGTGTCTACTGACTGCCAGTACTTGACAGTGGGCCACTAACCTTTGTCCCTCTTTTCCCTCATAAAACCTATATGTAATCACCCCTCAACCCCCAATGGGCCTAGCCAATCAGAAGTATACACTTCATGCTTGCTAAATGCCAACCAATCATGTGATTGCTAAATGGAAAATCCCCAAACCTTGCTGTAACTTTAGTAAAAACCCCGCTAACTTGAAATGCGGGGCTCTCAATCTTGACCCGCTGTGTCGGTGACAGTTGAGAGTCCCTGCTCGAGCTTGAATAAACAACCCTCGTTTGCTTGCATCGAAAACGGCTTCCTGGTGGTCTTTGGGACTTCGCAATCTAGGCACAACAGTGCCAGCTGTGCTCCCATTTCTTGTGTGGTGGAGAGAGCTCTCTCGGTCCTGCACCCTCATTTCAGTGGAGTTCTGGAAGAGGGCAAATATAAACAGTGTGGGCAGGCCTTCCCACCTCCATCTGGCACTGACTTTCATGCCAGCCTTCACCACAGGCCTGGTGTGCAGAGAGCTGGGAAGCCTCTTCCTGTAACCTGGGCAGGAGACCAGGATGTTTGCTTGGGCTGCATTGTGAGCCACAGAGCTAATGTTCCGGGAGCTGTGTGCAGAGCTGGCTCGGCTTCAGGGAGTGCCCATGTGGCCCGAAGGAAGGGGAGGGTGCAGGAGCCAGGGAGGCTGTGCGTTCCTCTCTGCAGCTCTGCCCTGTGAACTTTCCAAGATTCCTTGTCTGTGAAATGGAGACACCAACAACTGAGCACTCAGCACCGAATCTCTGATGAAAGGAGACAAGGTCTCACATTCATTTTTTCTCCAAAAGATGCAGTAGGGCTTATCTTCAGGGGACTTTTTTATGTACAACAATCTACACTTATTCAATTAATAGTCATGTCATTTTCTTCTGGAGCATTGTCAGACTCTCCAAACTCCAAATTCCGGCCTGAATTTCTTGCGACTCCATTTCCTGCAGAACCATTGGCTGCAGTCTCTCGTGGCCAGCAACAGGGCTCCCCTTAGATGTGCACTGCTAGTCCATGTAGGCTGTTTGACGTGCATTGGCAACACAGCTGTCAGCGACTTTACCCCATGAATTCTTCACCCAAGTCTCCACCTCTTCCCGGCTGGGCTTCACAGAGTTTCTGTTAAATCAAGTGTTAATTGAAGAATTACGGGACAGGCGTGGCAAAAAAAATGATGACAGTTAAGAATGATGGTCCACACAAGAGCAACAAAAAATTGTCCACCCCGAAATTCAGAAAACGTTTCTTTATTTTACACAGATAAGTTAAGTACATTCGTTACAACATCCGACTTACTGAACTATGAAGAATCATATTAGACACAGCCATGTCCACCTCCAAGTGTGCGTGTTATTCGGGCATTGTGTCTGTCTGTACTTCAATTGGTTATTCAGCCATAAGTCTCAAGTTCGTCTGTTTGCACAGAGGCCAGGGAGAGCAAAACTTTTAGAGCTTTCAGTGATACAAGTAGCCTGCTGTGGCACAGAAACATAGGATCACCACCACTGACGTAGGTGTTACCTCTCGTCCAAAGGCACCCATTTGGGTATTTATAAATACTTAATTATAACTTATATTATCATTTATTTTAAGTATTAATATCATAATATTTATTTGTATTTAACTATATATTAATATTATTTTATAATTCAATACATCTGTCCTGTGTTGCAATGGACATATTAAATGTGTCCATCTGGCTGATGATCTTAAATGTGGCTTATTTCGGGGGTAGGGTTTATATTACAAGCATCCTGAAAAATCGTGGTAGGGCTTATTTTCCCTTTAGGTCTTACTTTCAGGGAAATACAGTACATACCTGTCTCACAGTAGGAATTCAGTTTGGAAATTTTTTAACTGGTTCTGTGAGACCAAAGTGACTCCATTTTGCTTATGTGAAACCAGAATGACTCCACTTTTGCCCAAAATGGAGTAGTCTCCTTTGTCCTCTCACATTAATGATTAAAATGTGCTTGATCTAGGACAAAAGATACAATCTGTAACAAACCAAAGTCCCTAA